TGTTATCTGTTTGTTGTGTTGTGTGTGTGTGTGTGGTGTGTTGTGTTTGTGTGTTGTGCGTTGTGTGTTGTGGGTTGTGTGTGTGTTGCTTGTTGGTTGTTTGTTGGTATTGTGTGTTTTTGCTTCTTGTTGTGTGTTGTGTGCTGTTTGTTGCTTGTTGTTTGTTTGTTTTTGTTGCTGTTGTTCTGTTGTGTTGTTGTTGCTGCTGCTGCCCCTGCTGTTAATGTTGCCGTTGTTGCCGTTGTTGTTGCCGTTGTTGCCGTTGTTGCCGTTGTTGTTGTTGTTGTTGTTGTTGTTGTTGTTGTTGTTGTTGTTGTTGTTGTTGTTGTTGTTGTTGTTGTTGTTGTTGTTGTTGTTGTTGTTGTTGTTGTTGTTGTTGTTGTTGTTGTTGTTGTTGTTGTTGTTGTTGTTGTGCTGTTGTTGTTGTTGTTGATGATGTTGTTGTTGGTGGTGGTGGTGGTTGATTTTTGCTTGTCGCGTGTCGCTCGGTGCTTGTTGCTTGTTCTTCGTTCTGCGTTCTGTGTTCTTTGTTCTGCGTTCTTCGTTTGTTTTTCTTTGTTGTTTGTTGCTTGTTGTCTGCTAATTGTTGTTTGTTGTTTGCTGTTTGTTGTTTGTTGTTTGTTGTTCATTGTTATCTTTTTGTTGTTTGTTGTTATCTTTTTGTTGTTTGTTGTGTGTTGTGTTGCGTGTGTGTGTGGTGTGTTGTGTGTTGTGTGTTGTGCGTTGTGTGTTGTGGGTTGTGTGTTGCTTGTTGGTTGTTTGTTGGTTATTGCGTGTGTTTGCTTTTTTTGTTGTGTGTTGTGTGCTGTTTGTTGCTTGTTGTTTGTTGTTTGCTTGTTTTTGTTGCTTTTGTTGTGTGGGTGTGGGTGTGTGCTGTGTTTGTTGTCTTTGTTGTTTTTGTGGTCTTTGTTGTTGTTTTTGTTGCTGCTACTGCTCTTGCTGTTGCTTCTGCTCTTGCTCTTGCTCTTGCTGCTGCTGTTGCTGCTGCTGATACTGTTGCTGCTGCTGATGCTGTTGCGGTTGCTGTGGGTGTTGTTCTTGCTGTTGCTCTTGGTGGTGGTGGTGGCGGCGCTGCTGCTGCTGCTGCTGCTGCTGCTGCTGCTGCTGCTGCTGCTGCTGCTGCTGCTGCTGCTGCTGCTGCTGCTGCTGCTGCTGCTGCTGCTGCTGCCACTGCTGCTGCTACATAGACACGGGGATGGAAGCTGCTTTTTCCATGCAGGTCGCAGCGAGCTCCCGAGTCACACCTGGCCGTTCTTTGGACCCTGCGGGTGTATCTCGCTGGCAAGCTTCATGATGCTATCTGTGGCACGCTGTAGCTTTCCCTTAAATCCATCAGGCCCGTTGTGGATCAGGACCCACCGGGGATGCTGTCGCCAACAGTCTCGGAGCTTGTGGTCCAGCTCCCTCGCCTTCTCGGGCGGCTCGCCGCGGATGACCGCGTTGCCGGAATCGTCGACCGTTTTGCCCCACTTGTAATACTCCTCCGCTCCATCGGCGGCGGACGTGAGGTGCACGATCATGTTGTACCGCGCCAGCATGTACTCTTCACTGATCAGCTTCCGCGGCTTGTCCAGGCCTGCCGCAGAGGCTTCCACTTGGCCGACAAGCTTCGCCCAGTTGTGGGCAGGCACGTAGGCTCGCCCGTCCAGCAGGCCTCGGTCGAAAATGATGATGGAAGGTCTCCCTGTGGAGGCTGCGATGTCTGTCATGCTGCGCTCCAACTGGAGCTGCATCTGCATGACGCCCGTCTGTATGGCGAGCCACCTATCCTCGTAGCCGGCGCAGCCTGGTTCTGGAAACTGCATGCCCGCGTTCAAAAGCACTGTGCAGACCTCGGGCGCTGCATAGACGTCGTAGCCCGCGGCAGTGGCCGCGCGGGTCAAGTGCTCGAGTGCTGAGCTCTTGCCAGCACACGGCCCACCAGTGAGCACGATGCGGATGACGTGGGTGCGGCCCGGCTTGAAGCGTGTGGTCACCATACCGGGCCGCAGCGCCTGCCCCGCCTTCCAGAGATTCTCATCGAGGCGGTAGAGGGACGTGCGGAACCGCGATGGGATGGCCTCGCTCTTCGCCTCGCAGCTCACCTTCCGCGCCCAAGGACCCAGCCAAGCCGCCGAAGCCGCCACGGCCAGCGGCGCGAAGTGCCGGCGGGCGAGCCGGGAAGCCATGCCGCCCTTTCCGCTGGAAGGAGGGCGGAGCAGCCACGACTGAAATTTGCGGGTCTAGAAACAAGGATTTCCAGCTTGCTGCGCAAACTCGAGGCACACTTCAGGCGCTCCTGCGCTTTGCCTCCGGGATCCCTCGAAGCACCAAAGGCCTCAGAGCTAGTGGGTCTCTGGCACAAGAAGACACGCGGCACCGGCTGGGAGAAAGGAATCATGTCAAGGGCATTCGGGCTTTCTTTCGGTGCATTGCAAATCGTGTTGCTAGCAGTTGCTGATGTGGCAAACTTGTGAGGGGAGGGCAGGGAGCGGCGGCGTGCCCTTGTAGCCTGAAAAAAGTCCCGGCCTGCTGTTCCTGGGGCTTGTATAGACAGCTGAAAGTTGTTTGCGCACCCCGCCACACTTACTATGCAAGCCACTCTTTGCCATTGGCTGTACAGCAGCCTGTCCTTTGCAAGCGTGCCCAGCGTAGCTTCTCATGTCTGCAAGCTGCAAGCCGAAGAGGCCCGGGCCCCGTAGGACTGTTGGATACATCCTGCGCACTGAGCTCGCCGGATATCCTGCTGCCATGCCAAGCTAGCGAATCAGCTAAGTCCGCCAAGTCAGCTGCATGCACATTTCGGCATTCCAGCCTACAAGCAGATTCGAAACATTGAATGAACCGAATCCAGCACAACCTGGTAACCCAGAGACTTGCCTGTGGCTATGCAGAAGACACGTTCGCACTGTTCAACTCAATCCTCCCCCTGGCCCCGTGATCCCAAAGCTTCCAGTCAATCACTGTCCGACTGCCTGGAACAAATATCCAGCACGCTTTTGGTACTGGAAGATGTGAGCTACCTTCGAGGCCGGCATGCTGTGCATAAACCCCGTGTAACTACCCCTTTGACAATCCAAGTTAAATATATGCATGACAAAATGCCGAGCATGCCCTCCAACAAACACGGGGGTACCTGTTCAACATTCCGTGAGGCGACGCGCGCATCTTCACCGGAAGTCTTTGATCGCAGCCATGCAGCCGCCGCACCTCCCCATCTCACTTTGCCCCTCCCCCTCCCCCCCCAAAAAAAACAAACAAAAACATCGCATGTCGCCAAGGGCCCGACAGGCTGGAAGGCCTGTGCAATCATCAAATGGACACCTTGGCCAGGGAGAAAGATCCGAGTGCCAGCGACGCCTTGGATCTCAGCGAATGGATATGAGTTCAATTGGGTGGTGCCCTTCAGCGGACATCAAATTGGGCAAGGGATCTATGTCCACCAACCATGTAGGAGGGTGTTTCCCATGAAATTCAGTCTCATCCATCTTCCGCTCGCTCCGCATCGCTCTGGGTGAACTGGCGGCGATTGCCTGCACGCAATTGGCCACAGGGGTACAGTGTTACAACACACAGCCCTTCGAGCATGGCTCCTCCAAACAACCCATGGGTGAAGAACTTGCAAAGCGCTTAGCTCAAATGTTCAAGCACGTCCCGTGAGCTTGTGGCTGTCACTGCACTGAGTCTTGTGTGAGTGTGCGTCATCCTATGCTGAGGGTGCTGGATTTCATCATAGCTGCCTGTGAGCCCAACACCCAGGTGGCATTCCCAACAGCACCTGCGGAACCCTCCGGAACGCTTCCGAAATCCTGGCACGCAGCTGCTCCGAACTACTCCCGAACCTATCTGGGCAGAGACCCCACAGCTTTGAGCTATCGGGGGAAAACACCCAGTCGGCCCCACAGAGCATGGCATGAGCTACTCGCAGGGCGCAGGCCATGCGTTTTCCATCGCTCACCAGAGCATCAGGCTGTTTGCCTGGCATCTTCTCCTTCCACTCTGGCTGGGATCAGGAGGCTGCCTACCACAAGAACAAGGCCGACAGCCTCTCCCCTGCACATCCTGCCTGGGCATCACCGGACGATCAGGAAGAGCCTTAACAGTTGATCATGTAGCAGTTTTTCAGCCCAAGAACCAGGCTGCCGCAAAATAAGAGTACATGGTGTTGACATTCAAAACTGTTCAATGAGATGCAAGACAATCTCAAAGACGAGGGCCGTTGATGGCGGCGCCGAGATACTTTGTCGGAACCTCCTGGGCATCGGCAGCAAGACCGAGAACAAAAAATCAAGGGCTGCCATGGGAACAAGACGGTGGAGACACAAATCTCACTCGATTCAAGGATCAGGCAGTGCTTGAAATACAAACACATAGTCATTTGATTACCCAGACAGATCCTCAAAGCACCTTGTTTGCTCCGCACGCCTTTTTCCGCTGCATGAGTGAGCCCCTGCTTAAGGGGGGCCCCCTAAGCACCAGCTGGGGGCTCCTCTCGGCCCTGCGGCGCAGGCTGTTTCCCATCTGAGCGCATTTGACCGGACCTTGCCGGCTCCCGAGTTCCCAGCTGTTGCTCACTGGGTCAGTTGACTTAAACAACACAAGCTTTGCAGCTCCGCTGTCTGATTCACTGCAGGCGGTGTGTGCGTACCTCGCAGGAAGGCCAAGATCATTGGCAGCAACCTCCTGGTAGGCAGAAGCCCACGGTGCAGACTCAGTCTCCAGAGGCATATCCCAGGCCTTCACTTTGGCCGGGGCTCCCGGACCGGCCCTCTCGTTGGAGCGCCGGCGAAGCAAGGTGATGCAATGCAAGTGCCTCTTCCGCTGTGCAATGGCCAAAGCCGATTGCACCCTGGTGGTTGAGCTGGTCGACCTCTGTGCCAGAAAGCAGCAGGCAGCGCAGGCAGTCCAGCTGGCCCAATTCGGCCGCCTGGTGCAGCGGAGTTAGGGTCTGCCTGTGCGGCCAGCAAAACCTTCAAGACCGCAGCGGAGCCGAATCGACACGCCAGCATGAGGGGAGTCGTCAGGTTGATGTCAGCCCTGTCCACCACGGCACGTCGCTGCAGCAAGAACCAATTCGGGAGCCCTGATCTTTGCCATGAGGAGTCTCAGCCGGCCGAGGAAGTCGAAGCACCCGACTACGACGACTGGCATGGTTGGACTGTGGTCGCCGCCTCCGAGGGGCCGCCTCTTCTTCTTTCAAGAGGCGCGACAAATCTCGCAGTGGCACCAGCCAGAATAGCTGGACCCGATGCTGGGGGGTCTGGAAGGAGGCATGCGATGACACGCAGCCGTCCCATCCAAGCTTTTGGAGGAACGATCAAGCGTCGCTCACACTGGCTCACGTCCGGAGCTTGGCTCGGGCTGTTTGGGCAAACCGCTGGCGGGGCCTGCGCAGGCTGAACCGGCTCCGTCTCAGTGCAGGCTTCGCACGGCTCGCACGCCTGTGCGCCGTCCAAAGCGTCTGGCTCAGGAAGAAACCCCTCGCCAGGCACCGTCCGCAAGTCCCCGCGCTCACCACCCTGCGGGGCAGTGCCGTCTGAGCGTCGGCCATGTTCGCTCAGCATCTCGAAGCGGCCCAATGTGGGCCTGTCCCGTGGCGAGCCCAAGGGCGAGTTTCCGCTCTTGGGCGTGCCGCTCTTGGGCGTGCCGGCCCTGGACCCTCGGCTGTCCAAAAAGCTAAGCCCGTCCTCCGTCTGCCCCAGGGACTCTGTGTCACACTCTGAGGCGGAACTGGGCACCTGGATCTTGCGGCTGAGCCGCTCGAAACAGACCGCTCCACCTCACTCTGCCGCGCTTGGAAATTGTCAAAGGAGGCCTGGATCTCTTCAAAGCGCCGCAGCGAGCTGGTCAGACGCAGACATTGCCCAGCGGCGCCATGGACAAGGTCTCCAGGCGGCCACTTCGGAGCCCGGCTGCCGGGCTGCGCTTCCGGGGCGCGCCTCCCGGCACCCCGGCTTTCAAGGCCGCTGCCGCGCGCAGCGCCTTCTGGGCGGCGCCTTGGGCCTTCTCATCTGACAGCCTCGTAAGGCCTACGCCATGGCCCGGATTGACAGGAACGGCTCGGTTCGAACGTCACATGCAAGTCTTCCTGCAGCCCCCGTGCAAGGCACCAGCTCTCCTTCCCATGGAAGTGTCGGAGTCTTCGTCTTCAGCAAACCTTGGATTATGATGGATTATGGCAACCCGTGGGTGTCCGGCTGACAAGATGCTGCCGTTCCTGCTCCCATCGCTCACAAGGAATGCATGCCTGCTACCGACAAAAGTTCGACAGCTAAGGCGGAAGCGCATCTAAAAAATAGTTCGAAATGTGGTGCAAAGTGCCCTCATGTTGCGCCTAAGCAACACACAGGGAGCCCAGAAGCAGCGGCGCAATCTGAGACATCTACATTGCCACAGCTCATTGTCCCCTCTGATGGGTCAGCAGACCTGCAGGGCAATTAGCAGTCGATTGAAAGACATCAAAATTCTTGGCCTGCCTGGGCGTGGGCTCTTGGCTTTGCGGTGCCTTTGCTTCAGTCGGGAAAGAAACTATGGTGCTACATCCATGGCAACTCCAGCTTCCCAGTGACCTGAGGCCCTCGCACTTTGGCTACCTAATTCACCTAGCGAGTACCATCGCTCACTGATAAACAAGCGGAAATTCTGCATGTCTCAGTGACTCAGGTTCAGACTGCGCGTCTGCGAGTTCGAGAGCGCGTGCAGCTGGTCCTGGACGCCAACAGCTGGAGTGCGAGGACTGGGTGATTCTTTCCTCGTCGACTTCTTCCCAGACAGCGGGGCCTGGAGACAAAGGGGCACAGCAGGAGTGTGCTTTTGGTGCATTACGATGCACGCGCCTTTGGCCTCTGGGCATGCGGTGCCATGGTCCGCCTCGGCAAATACATGGAGTTGCACCAGCATCTATCGCCACAACCGGTAACCATGTCATGCTAAACACACATTGCCAGGGCAACAAACTGCGACCAAACCGATCAAGGAATAGCAGCTTTCACGAAGCAAGGCCAAGCAAAAGGGTCAAGGCAAGGGTAAGAAGCACGGCCAGGAGTCATGAGCACATGAAAGTGCAATTTGGGCAATAGAATTGGAAAGGCTGCGCAGAACAACAAAACAAAACAACTGGTGTGAAAAGTACGTGCACAGGCTTCAGCCAGGCCATATAAACTAGACAAGGCAAGGCCGGGCAAAGACGGAACACGGCCACGCAAGGCTAGGCAAGTCAGAAGAGGCCAGAAGCAGCTGTCAACGAACTGTGTCACAAAATCATTCAAGAAATATGTGGCAGAAGCCAGACAAGCCGGAACGGGAAGAAAGCAAAGGAAAGCTGAGCACTCGACATGTCAACGCTTTCAAAACCTGGCTCAGCAACACGATACCACCCAGCCTTGTCAGACTCAGCTACCCTGTGTCTTCCTGGAAGTGCCAGCCTCGCACGGTGGCTTTGCAAGCTCACATTCGCAAGGGGAAACCCGCAAAAGCAGGGCAAGCAAAACGTAGGCATCGGCCCGGTCAAACGTCCTTTCTTTTGCATGGGCATCCAACTGGTATTTCTTGCAAAAATGAATTCCCATGGGCACGGAGTCACCCATGCCAAAGCAAAATCAACTCGGCAGAAGAGTCGCGGCACAACTGCACACACACACACATACACACAAACACACACTCGTGGCAGCCAAAGGTCAGGGGCTGGGATCGGCTTGGCCAGGGCTCTTCGAGATCGTGCCAGGCCTGGGCCAAACAAACATTGCCAGCGAGCCAAACGAATGACCTTGAGGACATGGCGATGTTATGGGTCTCGTCTGACGGCGGTAAAATTATGAGACCTGGGTCGCTCAATATATGGGACAACTAATCTCGTCATTTTCGGGGTCGTGCCCCGTGGCGTGACGGGCAAGCCTTCCTCCTCTTGGTCGGACTCGTCGGCCAGGAAGCTACCTACATCCAGTGCTGCATGGTGCGCAAAAGCAGTCTCACCGTGTCGCCAGTTGTTTTTGGTCTTGGGCTGGGATGCCAATAATTGCCAATCAGGCGCTCCAGTCCACAGTCGGCAGGTCCACAACGCCTGCGCTGCAGTGGCACTGGCTGCGACCTTGCCTGCTGACTTTAATGCATCTGCCCATGGCCTGCGTCCGCAGCATTCTCGCACTGGCGGCAGGCGTCATCCTTGAATGTGCACATGTATTGGCTGCTTGACACATGGGAAAACAATGGCACGGAATTTCAGGCAGGTACCCCAGCACAAGCGCACGTAGCTGCACCCATGGCATGGCTGCTGCGCGATGAGTTCGGAGTTCGCTCCTCGTATGAATGGCTTTGGGATAGTTGAAGACGTCAGGTACGCCTTCTGCACATCGTGCCTCGTTTCAAAGTCGCGCGTCATTGTCGCAACAGGCAACGAAGTAGTTACATGTGTTTGTAGCAAGTTGCCAACTACGTTAGAGCACGCAGCTTGCGGCTTGCTTGAGCAAATGAAAAGGCAGGAAAGCGAACTACTCATCCCCAACTAGTTTGACCTCCCTGTGCTTGCAAATGGTCTGCCTCTTCCTAAGTCAACATAATAAATAGGCATTGGGAATCCCATTCCGGAAGCCAAGAACTCACCGAGTTCCAGAAAGCCAATATTACGTCCGCTCAAGCGAGCTGCGCACACACAGACGCACACGCCTTCCAAATGGTATGCACACACACACACACACACACACGCTTGCCAAATGTTGTTGCCTGGGATGCCTGGACCCAGATCTGGAGGGAGAGACGACGAGCCGGATGTCCAGCGGCACGATATGAGGCAAGCGTGAGGGTGCATTCTGTGGTTTCTCCCAACATGTGCCCGTGCTGCACACCTGACTCGGGGCAGGAGCTCTGATTCTCCTTGATGCGCAAAGGACATACCAGGCCCAGCGCCTAGAGCGTTTTGCTTGGTGCTCTCGGCGCAACCTTAATCAAATAAGGGGTCTTTGGAAACCGCGCTAGAGAAGGATGGAATGGAATGGAGATTATAATCCCAGCTCTTCCTTCACCATATCTTCTCTAATTATTTGTCTTTAGATAAATGCGGATTTCCAAGGAGAAATGTAAACAATGAAGAAGAAAAAAGAGAAGATAACAAATAAGAAAAAATGAAATCCAAAGGGAAATAATCCTCTACTCTCATACCTTGGCTCTTCATGCCCTATTTTCTTCTTCGATATGACCTCCTGATTCATGCCTTTCCATCAAGAGCTTTCCGCTTTACTAACCTATTCTCTGTTAATATTTCAATGCATTTTTTCTTCGTTGGCTTACCAACATCTGGACCAATGGCTTCGGCCACCGCGTGTTCTTCACACGCGACTCGCAACAAACGAGGCACCCGCTTCGCGGCGCCAGGCCAGGGATCCAGAAATGGAATTTATTCACTTTCTTGCGCGAGAAGTACCAGTCGCGCCCCCAAACATGGTGACCGGCGATGCGTCAGCCCCACGGCTGGACGGACCTCCTCGGGCATATCAAGCGATGATGCAGGTAACTCCACCCTTGTTTTTACGCGGAGGTGGACGCCCCTTCCTCGACCACTTCCATCCAAAGCTTGCAGTGGAGGTTGGGGGGCGCCGTGGCAATCTTGTCGGCAAACTTGTGGCATCTGACCCATGCAGCGCTTCGTCTCTTTGCAGGCAGGCAGCTGGACCTGAGCTTTGCAATCGGCGACTTGCCCCTCCTCGGCGACTTGCTGACCGATCGTGGCCTAACACCGCTGATTACATCCGGGGCCGCCGGTCTATGTGGCGCGGGGTTTTTGTTGTTGTGTGTATGGTTGTTTTGTGTCTTCCTTTTTTGGGGTCAGGATGGGCCTGCGTCGCGCATATGCACTTACATGAATAACATCTGTTTCATCAGCGAAACGACTGGAGATCGAATGGCGACATGCCATTTGGTGGAAAGCAGCGCGCCTTTTAACGACCAAACGGCATCGACACGAGCTCATTGTAGGTTCGCTCCTTGGCACTATGCGGAGAGCTGCTCCTTCAAGTAGACACGTGCCCGGCCAGCTGTGTCCAACGCTGACAGCGGTGTCGACCGCGCGCAGCGCCCCGCCGCGTTAGAATCGAGTGTAAACTCCGGGCAAGTGGAACAGAAAGAAAAACACGGGCTGTGGAGGGGCCAGCCTGAGAAACAAGCATGGCTGCAAACGCAAAAACGAGTTGATCCGCCAAAAGCAGGGCAAGGCGCGGGAAGCATCCCTCTGCCAGCCCCGGTCCAGTCCTCAGATGGGTCTTGGTCATAGGTAGGGATCCCGAACTAGCAAAGCAACGAATGGGCCACATGAGTGGGAGGATCCAAACGAAGATTCCCCTCGTGCCGTTCAAGTATTGTAGTAGAACGGTGGCAGTTGGAGGGGGATCCTGTCCGGATCACCGCACCTCAAAGAGCACACCACGACACGAAAAAGGGAGACGTACGAAGTGACGAGTCGAAAAGAAAGGGAAAAACCGACATGGACGGAGTGAAACCCGGCTACGACCCGATTTGCACTTCTAGTGCGGTCAAGGTCTCGCTCAAGTCCGTCAGAGAGACCATCTCCTGCGCGCACGGCAGCGGTCCTGAGGAGCATGAGCATCACTGAAGCCGCGGTGCAGGACAATGGGGAACACCACCCACAGCAGCGGCACTTGTACAGGTAGGACGTCATGCAGCGCCGCACGAAAGGGCAACAGTATGTCGCTTTTTGTGAGCGGATGACGCAGTTGCAGGCTACCTCACTGGCCGGGCCTATCTGGCCTCCGGTCACGCGGGGGATCATCTCTGCGACGATCACCACCACCTTGACGACGGGCAGGGAGGAGGATCCGACTGCTGTCCAATCGCGATGTTTCGCGAGTACCACGTAGCGGGGATCCTCTAACCACTATTGACTTGCACAGGCACCAATTTGGCACCTCTCGCAAAAGGGTAGTCCTTGTCAGCCCGACCTGATCGCGGCAACACGCGCTGCACCAGGATCAAGACGTGCTTCTGGTCACGGAAAACAGCGAGGACAGGATATGATGCGTGGCTGCACCCTCAGCGGTCAGATCGGTCCCGAAATAGCGGTGCAAGAACTTTGTGAGCCGTCGGACGGCCATGACATTTCCAGACGAGGACTGTGCCCGGGCACTAGGGGTCTTGGCGGCTGTTTTTTCGGAGGCCAGCGTTCTGCGGCCGCCGTCGCCCCTGCTGCGTATTGGGCGTCTTGGGCCGATCTCTTTTGGCGTCCCGCCCACTCGACCGCAGGTGTCGATGGGCCGCCGCCCTTGGTGAGTGATGTGCTTGCTGACGGCGGGGAGCCGTTTGCCGGGCGCAGCCGCGTCCGGTGAGGGCTGCCCGCTTGCACGTGAGGAGCAGCCTCCATAAAAACAGCGGCAAAGACCCTCCCATCTTGACACACGTTGCAGCCACTGCGGAAAAAGGTGTTTTCGGTGATGGGGAGTGGGGTGGGGAGAGCGGTCAGAACACGGCCAGCGAAAGGGCCCTGCTGCGACTCCAACAGCGCCAGAGCACAGTGGAGGGACAGTCCTGTAAGAGACGGTCTTCCAGCGACGCCGCTGCCACCCTCGGGCTGCGTCACTGCTGAGACACAAGCTGTCAGCGTCATCGGAGCGCGCGACCGGCAAAGCGTCCTGCCAAGTAGGGGGCTCCCAACTGGGGTCCGCCAGCAGGGATCGGTTGCGGCGCCGGGCCTCCAGAAGGGCGACGGGTCGGGCCGGGTCGCGCCGAGAACGGGCCTCCCCAGCGGCGGTGAGCGGAAACACAGTGGTCGTGTCAACCGCGAGCTGGGCCCCGTTCCACAAAAGGAGGCCGTTGGCGATGACCTCGACGCAAGGGTGTTCGTGGTCACTCGAGCCCCGGCCTCGCGGCACACGCGGGCTGCTGCACGCTCGAGCGGGCAGCCTCGACTCCGGAGTGCACCAGACCGGGAGCACGCTGCACGGTGGTCGCCAAGAGGGTCAAGAGGGCGACGACACCGACAGGTGCGGGCGGACAGGGGCAGGGGGAGGCGGAGGCGCCGCAGCAGAAGAGCACGCAAGGGTTCGGAGGGGAAGGTGAGCTCAGAGCAGGTCGGAACAGTGGTGAAAGGGCGACTGCTGAATGGGCCAGTCTCGGAAAACAGAAGGGCCTGCGAGGGCACATCCAACTGAGCCAGGAGCTCTGTCTGGAGATGCGCGGCGACTGCGGCCGCAGCTGGCGCCTGCCAGCCCCGCGCGCTGGGTTCGGGCAAGTAATCGCCTGGCTCATTGGACTAGGGGGGGGTTTAGGCACCGAGGATCACGGCATCCCACGTGGGCAAGTCAAACCCGGCCGCAGCGCAAGCGCTGCCTGTGACTGGAGACACACCTCGGAGGGTGGGGCCGACGGGCTCGCGCTCCAAGCCTGGCGACAACGTCGGCGGCGAAGCGCGGGAGCTGGCGGTGCAGCACGGGAAGAGTGTCGGCCCACGAGGCCCAATAGGCGGCTGGAGCGAGGGCGACCGCAGACCGCAGGTTGAGGCCACCTTGCTGGAAAGGGAGCTGGGCAAGGCGGAGCGCGTGCTCCGGGAGCGGGCCGGCCCCCAACAAATCTGCAAGGCAGGCGGCGACAGCCGCGTCATGGGCTTCCGCAAAGGCGAGCGAGGTCACAGGTGGCAAGGACCGAAGAAGGTGACAGCAGCGCGGCGAAGCACAAAACAGAAGCAGCAACCATGCGGACTGAAGGTCGGGCAGCGAGCGGATGCCTTGGAGGAGCGAGTCCTGCTTGGCGCGTGTGGCTTGCAACTGGGCAGCAACATACGCAGGATGGCCACAGGGAACCCCAAGTGCAACGAGCCCCTTTTGCTCGGGCGGCAAGGCCGGGTCACCGACCCAGACCGGGGCGTCAGGGGAGCCAAGCCCTCGGATGCCTGGATTTTTTTTGGACGATCTTGATGAGTCTGTTAACATCCTTGTTTTTAATGACGTTAAAAGATCCCTTGTGAACGCGACCGGCGTTGCCCCCAGCTTCAAACATGGTGGCAGAAAGCGTGGAGTCGGCCTCACAAGCGAACTCAATGAGGAGCGGGGAGCCTGAAGTTACTGGCGCGCTTGGAGGGCCATTCCCACCGTCGGAGCACGACTTCTTCTGCTGCTGCTGCTGCTGCCGCTGCTGTCGCAGCTGGGGGGGGTAGGCACCCGCCAAGGCAGCTGTTCCAGCCTGTGCCGCGGGCTTGTGCCAGTGCTGGCATAGTTGCTGTTGCAGCTGCTGCTGCCGTGGTTGTGTTTGCGGGTGGGTTTGTGGCTGCCGCCGTCGCCACTGCAAGTGGCCGTGGCGGCGGTCGCCGCTGCATTGCCTGTTGGCAGAGCTGGGTTGGAGGCAACGCGCTGGCGCGTATGCGTGGCTGGTTCGGCTAGGCAGCTGCAGAAACAAGGCCAGCAGACCGTCGTTCGGCGAGGAAGCACGGAGGCAAAGCTTCCTGAGCAGTGGCGGGAATGTAGCCGCTGGTTTGGGTGCATTGGCCACGGCAGTTAGACAGAAGCGCTTGGAGGGAGACCGTGCCGCAGCCAGAGCACGGGGACTGCACGCTCAAAGTGCGACAGCACTGCAGCCATCTTGGGCAGCGGGCTTCGAACGTTAATCAATGCTTCAATGGCGAAAGGAAGCGCGCACATAAATTCCAACATGACCGCCCGCCAACTCGGCGCGAAACAGTTGTGGCTTTCCCAACTGGGATGTAGGCTCGCTGCGGAGCAAACCGGCCGCAGAAAGAAGAGGAGGAACGTAGAACCAGCTGTTTCCATCCATAAGGAAGGGACTCCTGGAGACCAGGAGCAAACCAAAGCGCACCCCCGGCGCTCGCAGCAGCCGGCACAGCGAGCACCAGCTGCGCCGTGGCTGCTGGAGCTGCAAGAACCGGAGGGAACTTGGGCAGTGTCGGTGGGTGGGGCCGACGCAGGGGGGGGCCTCCGCCCCTCGCCTCACACCTGCCTGCCCGGTGAAGTGGCGATGTTGCATGTTCAACGTAACGTGGCACTCGTGACAGCATGAATGCTAACCTACTTGGCTGCCCGGAGATATGAACCTCGCGGAAGTCTCACTAAGGTGACCAATATTGCATTCGTTTGGCCTGCAACGTTAACCCTGGTGCCCGGGGTCTTCTAAGCAGGGTCTGAGAAGGGCACACTTGTTGCGGAAAAAGGCGCGGAACAAAAACGACCAATGCCTCAAGGTGATGATGCCGCACCACGAGGGTGAAAGCCTGCCTGGTGAGATTCAATGAGGAGTTTGTCAGAAGAGCATGAAAGCAATCGGACCCGTGCTGAGCCCAAGTCTTCTTGCCGCTCCTCATTTGCGCTGGTCTCCGCTGTTTTTCTTCCTTTCTTTGTGGTGTTTGGGCTGCCCCCTCTGGTTGTTGTTCTGGCTGCGGCAGGCGCCACGGACTGCGCTGCTGGGGGGCGTCCAGAAAACCTGATTTGCCTAGGTTCTCGATTTGCCCTTGCCCAACAACAACAACAACACCATAGAAGTTGTTTTTGCCCTGCGTAAGGTTTGCCCTCCGACTTGCCCTAGTATGGAAACGTGGTAGTCGACTTCGGCTGCCGTCGTGCGCCACCGCCCCAACCTCGATCTCGAGTGGCCTTTCGAGCCTCGGCAACGCTCCGGTCGTTCTCCGCCAATCTGGCTTCGTGAGCCAGTGGGCGCCAGGCCGAACAGCAACAAAAGCGCGGCACGGCTGGAACACATCGCCCATCACGAGCGCCTGGACTGCAACGCGACGAGCCTCCGCACACACACAAGACAGAGAGCGCCACATCAGCCACAGCAAACTGCCGGCATGGTGCCGGAGCCTTCCTGGCCGAGCAGCGCAACATGTGCAGCCAAATGGCCCAGCTGCGGCCCCATGGCGCCTAGCACAGAGATTTGTCACCAAACAGTCCCAGGACAGGGCCGGGGGAGTGGGTCACGCAGCTCCACAAGGGTGACGGCAGACAACTCGCCAAGATGCTCAAGCACGGCGGCCAGCTCTGCGCGGCGTTCGTCGCGCGTGGCGACAGCCCCGCACAGGCGCCGCAGGACGAGCAGCGGAAGGGAGCAGCGTCCGCCGGCCAGACATTGACTCCACTCGCCAGGACAAAACCGTCTTGTGCTCTCATCCAAGTCCGCAGATCGATGCGCTTGGCCCCTCTCTCGGAAACGGCGCCAGCCGCAGACTCGTAGGCTCGGGGTAGTGCGCACAGGACGTGTTTGGCCGCCCTGCTGCCGTCGACTAAAGCGCTGTCAGAACAGAAAATGCCGACAAAAGATGTTCATGCTTGGGATGGAGGGTGGCTTTGCTTGCTTCTGTTTGCTTGTTTATTTGTTTGACTGACCCACCGAGTGAGTGAGTGATAGACTGATGCTTGCTTGCTTGCCTGCTTGCTTGCTTGGATGGATGGATGGATGGATGGATGGACTGCTTGCTCGCTCGCTCGATTGGTTGAGTAAGTGAGCAAGTGAGTGAGTGAGTGAGTAAGTGAGTAAGTGAGTAAGTGAGTAAGTGAGTCAGTGAGTAAGTGAGTAAGTGAGTAAGTGAGTAAGTGAGTAAGTGAGTAAGTGTGTAAGTGAGTAAGTGAGTAAGTGAGTGGTTGGCTGGCTGGCTGACTGCCTGCCTCTGCCTGCCTGCCTGCCTGGCTGGCTGGCTGGCTGGCTGGCTGGCTGGCTGGCTGGCTGGCTGGCTGGCTGGCTGGCTGGCTGGCTGGCTGGCTGGCTGACTGACTGACTGACTGACTGACTGACTGACTGACTGACTGACTGACTGACTGACTGCCGTCCGCCCGGTCTGTCTGCCTGCCTCTATCTGTCTGCTTGCTTGCTGCTTGCTTTCGTTTGTCGCGTGTTTGCTTGCTTCTTTGATTGTTTGTTTGCTCAACAGCCCCCAGGCAATCTGCTGGCTCCATGTTCCGGGCATCGCCATGCAGCACCTCCGGCCGCGCAGACTCGAAGGGATGAGTCCACCCACTTCCTCGCTAACCAACGGTTGGTAGGGGCCCTTGGGACCACCTGCCATATATGCTCCACAGATCTTCAAAACGACAGCGGCATCTCATTGGCCAATGACGCTGGGACTCTTGCGTGTGGCTTCGATGCTTAGTTGGGACAGCGCAGCACGCCACACAAGGCCTGCCAGTACTTTCTCCAGGGACTGTGCTACGTTCGAAACTTTGAGTATCCTTGCCCTTCACTCACTATGCTTATTTTGCCCGGCAATGGAGCCGACATCTGAGGTGAAACGCAACCTAAAGCTACAACTGCCCAAAGATGGGCCTAACACCAAACTAACTCCTCCTCAAGGCATACATCTTGACTGGGACCAGCTCCTTCGGCCAGTGAGCCTGGCCAGCATCTTCGACAATAGCCATTGGCCCATTGGCCGTCGCTCCGGCAAGAAAGTCAGAGGGTGGCCATGCAACTCATGTTAACTCTGGAAGTGGCTGTTGTTGCTATCGCTATTGACCAACAAAACAGTGTTTTGCCACGCAATCACCACTTGGTCTGCGTCAATACCAACAAACTGCCTGATACCATTGGCCTGGCGAAGCTCGTCTTGCAGAACCAGCCCGGCTTTCTTGAAAATCTCCTCGCCGGAGGCTTGCAGCTTACCATGCTCCCAGCGCGCCAAACGAGTTCGGTCCTTGTACATGGCATCGGTTCTCGAGATACTGTTGTCATCCCGGTCAACATTCCATTGCCTGTCTCCATAAGCACCAAGGCCAAAAACGATGTCACACATTTGGGAAGCGGCATGCCAACCTCTGCTGACTCGCAAACATGCCAGCGTCTCCCCTCTATCACAACATTCTCCTTCACAAAGATGGTCCCGTTCCTGTCTCGGGAGTCAGGTCTCATGGGAGGCCGAGACTCAAATGAGGGCGCGACGAGCTAAGTCCCTTCTTGCACCGTTCGAGGAAGGCCACCAAGTCTTCGTCGGTCAAATACAGCAGCACCCACTGTGCCCAAATCACATCATACCTGCCAGGTGTGAAAAGTTGTTTATCAGTGTCGCGTCAAGCTGCGATCCCACGTCATGGCATTGTGGGCAATGTGAAGTGATTGTGCTAGCGCCTGGCTTCTTCTGGTGCGAACTGCTCCAGAGAGCTCGCAATGAAGCGCTCAGTCCGGGCATCACCTGCCTTGAACCATGAGGATGCGACAAATGACAACAAATCACCTGGAAATGGAACGTGACTCCACGAAAACTCGGAATTGGTGGATGCCTCTTTCTTTGCTTGTTCCAAAAGCCGCTCGTTCGGCTCCACCAGGTCGACGCTGTCAAACCTGGCGCTGAGAGGCTTCCAGTCCCCGAATGGCAACCAATCCAGCGGTGAAAATGTCCAAGAGATGGCGGGAGAACTTCGCACCCAAACCGAAAAGCCTTCAAAATTCCAAGGCCGGCACTCCTCCAGCAGCAGACCCTTTGTGACCTGAGCTGCCCGGCGCAAGACGCAGCTCAGGCCGCCGTGCTGGTTTGGGCTGGTGGCTGGGATCCCCGAAACACTCGCTCGCGGGTCTCAAGACCGAGGCCGGCGCACGGCCGATCCCAGCACCACAGTCCAGGACACGCCGCCGTCCCGGAGGCTTCGGCCTCTGAGGCTGCGAGCCAGCGCGAATGCGAGAATGCGACTGAGCCAGGAGCGCGCTGCGGACGATGTTGAGAAATCTCCTAACAGATTTGTTTCCATCAGTTCAAGATTCAACCATCCCATTCATGCTATTGGACCTGCCAACTTGGGTAACCTGTGCAAGAGAAAGCGGCAAATGCATGTTGGCTTCCGCATTTGCCATGGCACCGGCCTGGATTCCCGCAGATCAGGCTCGCTTGTCTCCGGGAAGCCTCCCAGAATGCCATCCAGCGTCGCAGCCTCACAGGCCGCATGGCGCATTCTCCAAGCGAATCGCCCGCCTGCGCGTCCCAGTACTCCTCCGCTTTCTTGTACCAGCCTTGACAGCAGGCAGGAAGGCGGCTTCAGGCTTCAGGTCCAGACGGGCTGGTAGCTGGTCGCAAAAGAGGGGAACCTCTGAAACGGAGACCCTTGGTTTCCTTTCAGCCAACCCCACGAAGGGTTACCCAACAACACACACACACAGACACAGACACAGACCCAGACACAGACCCAGACACAGACAGACACAGACACAGACACAGACACAGACACAGACCCAGACACAGACAGACACACAGACACAGACACAGACACAGACACAGACCCAGACACAGACAGACACACAGACACAGACACAGACACAGACACAGACACACAGACACACCGACACACACGTTTACAAATTTCCTGCTCTTTGCGGCTTGGCGACTCGCCTTTTTCTTGTCATCACTCCACCTGAGGTCTCACACACAAGCTGCCAACCTCGAAACGCTGCCATGACTTTCAGGGGGGGTCAAACATACATCTGCGTTCTCACGCGCGGCGCGACGACGGGCCAAGCCACAAGTCCAGGTGACTTGTGTAGGAGACACCCGCAGAGTCCGTCCCTGGACAAACCTTCGCCGCCTTCTCGGCCTCCATCGTGGCAAAACTTGCCTGAGGGTGCACAATGCTATGAGATGTTGTTGCGGCTTGCAAACGGGTAAACTCTACACCCTAAACCCTAAGACTTAAATCAGACCAGCCGGCCTGGGCACAGTACGCAGGAGGCAGGAAACTCCTCAAGAAATGCGTCAAAACCAGTAAGTTCGCTTGTAGCAGTGCACGTGCCTTGCAGGAGGTCTGGTCAATAATCCATATCTACGTATATTTATCTGCTGCTCCGCGTGTGCTTCGCTTCTGTTGTCATTGGGTCAAGCATGTTGGACCTCTGGAACTTTCCTGCGAGTTGGCTCGTGGACTTCATGCCAAGCCCCAGCCAGATGTTTCCCGCTCTGATAGACAGATAGAGCACTACAGCTGCAACGAGACCACTCAAGGCAGGCTGTCACAAATACGCGGAAGGGTTTGGAGCGGACGCCTCCCAAAGATTGGCCTCTCCATAGGTTTTGTTGTTCCAGTGGGGGTTCGAGTTTGGAGCTTCATGCCCTCCGGTCGATCACCTGTCTTTCACCCTGCGTGCCGTCTGTTCCTGCACCTTTGGCAGCCCAGGCGCAAACTAGCAGAACCTCAAGGCCGTGTGTGCCACGGAGCCGGCTACATGTGCCTCCAGCTTGAGAAGAGCTGGCCACAGACCTCCGGGCTGCATCTGGTTCCCAAGCGCCACGCGCCCAGGTTTTTTGATGGTGGGTTGTTTGAACGTCAGGAACCAGGACAACATGCGGAACATGCAGGCCACACGTGGCCACGCTGGCAAACTGGATCCCTAATCCAAATCGGTAAAGGTCCATGGGACATCACTGCAACAAGGGGAACCAGTAAGGATTGAGGGTTGAGGTTGAACCACCCGGGCAAATTGAAAGGACCCGTCTGCCTTGCACTTGCCGCCAGTTGCCGTCTTCATGGCGCACTTCTTGCCTCAATCAAACACACATACAAGAGGCGCGAGGCGTGGTTGGGGGATGCTCCGAAATCAGTGTCAAACTGACCCTGGTTGTAAGTCGTTGCTCAAAGGCAACAGCAATTAATTCTCTATGTGAGACGCTAAGTGTCTTGCTTCCAGCCAGGAAACCATGCGCCATGCTACATTTTCCTGGTATGCATGATCCAGCAGTTGCTGAGGTCGATAACCAACCACATGCAGAACTCAGTTGCTTCTGTTCACATGCTTTGCAGACTTTGGCAAAACTTGCGAAAAAGAACTGGGCCCCACTTGCAAGACTCAGGGCATCCCTCAGTTCCAACCCACGCTCAATGCTGGCTCTGGGCAGCCAGCAGGCTGCCTCATGCCCGCAGCCGTCCGTCTCGTACCTGAGTCCGAAGCGCCAAGCGCGGAGTGTGAGGTTGTTTTGGAGAGAAGCCTAAATGAACACGCCCGTCCTATCTTTGAGAGCGGAGCGCAAGGGGGGGAGGAGGTATGAAACTTTGTGAAAGTAGCAGTTGTTTGTCAGAATTCCACCCCTCCTCTTTCTTTTTGGGGGGCTCCCCTTGACACGCCGCACGCGTCGACTGAGGCGCGCACTCGCGGCCCTCTTTCTTGCAGTACAGGCAGGCATCCTGGCAAGCTGAAAATATTCACTTGGACCTGACGCTCCAAAATCCTGACATCCGACTCAGCCAGCTCAATGGGATCGAATCCAACCACGCCATCCTCTGGAGCACTGGGGCTCGGGGTGATGGCTGCCGCGCCGGCGAGGGCGCCGTCCTTGGCGACCAACCAGCCTTGCCACTCCTTTTTCCCAGTAACGGTGCCTTTTTGGAGGAACACTTGGATCTCTCTCCAACGATGTTCGAGGCTGGCCATGTCGCGAGAGCCAAAAGCCAAAACTGACGGGAAGAGGCGAATTGGGAGGAACAGATCTGTGGTACAAGAAAGCAGCTTCGTCATGGCCTCACCCTCCAGACATTTGACCTTGAGCATCTGACATGATCTTTCGTGCCAGCTGCGAAGGTGGTGGCAGACGCCATACTTGTGACAGCCCAGGCCGCTGCTTTGTTGGCAAGAATGGGGCTTACACAGTAGTCTGGAGAATAAGTGTAGGTGATGCTCAAGGACTGCACCATGTGATGTTCTGCGATGCCATCTTGCAGCCGAAACATTCGCCAACGGGTCATTGCAACATGCGTCAAGGTCTCAAGCTCATACAAACACGCAAGTCAAGCACGCCATCTGTGCGGCCGCTGCTCTCAGCTGGAGATCTTCGCACAACTCTCTTTCTGCGTCCCGGGTCAAAGACTTTCGCGGCCATCTGGCTTCGCCCAGGGCCCTGCAAAACCCCACCATCTCGCCAGCTGAAGCCCGGCGCCTCAAGCTACGTCCTGCGTCTTTCTGCGGTGCAGTGTGGGCTTCAAGATGGGGATCTTCCCGATGGATGCCTTGCCGCATGGGGCCGCTTCTCCAGCGCGACTCGAGGGGAGCATCAAGCCTTGCGCTGATAGTACCTGCAGCCGATGGCAAGCTCATCCGTCGCCAGCCCATCCTCTGACTCAGGAACGTCCGCCAAGGACGCCTTCGCCCTCTCAGCTACTTCCAGGGCGACTTTGATGGATGACCGCAAATAGCGCTTTCCATTCAGGTGCCCCACCATCCGAGCTGGAGCTGGCGCACCATCATCCAAAAGGAACCTGAGCTCGGAAAAAACGGCAGTCTCAAAATTTGCCTCCAACCAACACAAGTGCGTAGTTCTAACAAGTTCAGAAACAAAAAAGACAATAGCACACAAGCGTCTTGATTCACTTGCTGAGAGACGTTCCATAGCGTGCGTGACTCGTCCACCCGATCTCGCGCAAATCCATGCCCTGTTGTTGGCCGAGTTTATCTTCGATGAAGCCGCCTCGTGTTACCAAGATCTGCCTTCGCGAAAAAACGAACTCGCGGTAGTATTGAGTGGATGCAAAGTGCGTGGAGTCATGCCACATGATCATGGGGATGAAGCGAAAGTCTGGGCAAGCAGATGATGTAAGAGCCAGAGTCTCAAACGGAGGATGAACGACTTTCATCGCCCCCAGCTTGGTGATCGCCTGCGAAATGTAGCGAGGTGGGTCATTTGTGGTGGTGGGCAGGCCCACCATCTTCAGTCTGGGATCTTGAATCATAGCCTGCAGCAGCGACAGCACACCGGGAAAAGGGCGCATGAAGGTGCGATCATGCTGCATGATGCACACGAAGCGCGTGTCCACAAGCTCCAAAGCCGCCTTCACTGCAAAACCAAAGCCTTGTCGCTCAGTCAGGCGCACCACCTCAACCCTTTCCCATGCAGGTGAAGCCTTCTCGTGGGCAAGACGGTCCAATGCTTCCATATACTGCTGGTACGCATGGGCACGCTCGGCTGTCACGAGCCCGCTCCGGAACTTGCTGTTGCTGCCACACTTATATCCGTCGCAAACCAGGATGTGGCGGCATTGCAGGAGTGCCGGCGCATGCTCAGCAAGACTATTCAATGTTGAGCAAATCAGCTCAGTGGACGGGTTGGACGGAGTTGGAGACGTGGTGGTGATGATTGTACAAAGCGCTGTAAGGGACTCGGAGCCGCCCGCCATCGCAATGCGGCTCGCAGTGGGAGTTGAGCAAGCAAACGTTTTTAACAAGCCATCGACAGGATAGTAACCGTGTGTGCTTTGAGGCCCGTCCTGACAAACCAAGAAATGATCCAAGCCTGAGACTGAACATGGCGGCCCAAATCACCAAGTCATGACAGCACATCTCAATCGGGCAGCCATGCGCTCTGCGATTTGGATTCCGCGCTGGACTGAAGACGCTTTGGGTTTGGGGAATCTCATAACCAGCCATTAAAGATTGCGGCGCCTCTTGGAGGCAGCTCCGAATTAAGACGAGGGACTTGCTGAGAAGTCTCCTGTAGTGTACATTGGCTCCCTGCGCTCACTCCGACAAAAAGACGACACGTTCACACCGAGTGATCACGCAGGGAGAGACGGTTGATGCCACAAATTGTTGCAAGTGGGGAACTGAAGTTTTGATGGTTGCGGTATTCAATTGCAGCTCAACTGGTCAGATTTGGGGCATCAGTAAGAGCATTCTGGGAAAAATCGAGGCCGATAGATCATTTCTCATGCTGCCATAGGCCAGAAACAAAAGTCATCAGCATGCCTCGGCTTTGCCGTTTTTTGGCTCGTCGCAATCCCCCCCCTTTTGGCGGCCACGCCAACTTGCCGTCTCTTTGTGATCGCTCATCTTTGTTCGTCGAGAATTTGCAAAAGGGTGGTGTCCCTTCTTGAACCCCGGACAAGGGTAGCCTCGTGCTTCCTTGCTTTCCGTGCACGCGTGCGTGCGAGCTTGCTTGCTACATTTACTTGCTTGCTTGGTTTTCTGGCCCGTCATCCTGCCTGCCTGCCACCCTGCATGGCAGCGTTTGCTTGCTTGCTTGCCTGCTTGCTTGCCTGCTCGCGTGCGTGCGTCCGTGCGTGCTTGCCTGCTTGCTGGCTGGCTGGCTGGCTTGCTGGCTTGCTGGATTGCTGGCTGGATTGCTGGCTTGCTGGCTGGTTGGCTGGCTGGCTTGCCTGCTGACTTGCTTGCTTTCCTGTCTGTCTGCTGGCTTGCTTGCTTGCTTACTTGCTTACTTGCTCGCTTGCTTGCTTGCCAACTTGCTTGCCAACTTGCTTGCCAACTTGCTTGCCAACTTGCTTGCCAACTTGCTTGCCAACTTGCTTGCCAACTTGCTTGGCAACTTGCTTGCCAACTTGCTTGCCAACTTGCTTGCCAACTTGCTTGCCAACTTGCTTGCCAATTCCTGCTTGCTTGGCCTGCTTTGCCTGCTTTGCCTGCTTTGCCTGCTTTGCCTGCTTTGCCTGCTCTGCCTGCCTGCCTGCCTGCCTGCCTGCCTGCCTGCCTGCCTGCCTGCCTGCCTGCCTGCCTGCCTGCCTGCCTGCCTGCCTGCCTGCCTGCCTGCCTGCCTGCCTGCCCTGCCTAATGCCTGCCTGCCTGCCTGCCTGCCTGCCTGCCTGCCTGCCTGCCTGCCTGCCTGCCTGCCTGCCTGCCTGCCTGCCTGCCTGCCTGCCTGCCTGCCTGCCTGCCTGCCTGCCTGCCTGCCTAACTGCCTGCCTGCCTGCCTGCCTGCCTGCCTAACTGCCTGCCTGCCTGCCTGCCTGCCCTGCCCTGCCCTGCCCTGCCCTGCCCTGCCCTGCCCTGCCCTGCCCTGCCCTGCCCTGCCCTGCCCTGCCCTGCCTGCCTGCCTGCCTGCCTGCCTGCCTGCCGCCTGCTTGCTTGCTTTCTCTGGATTCCCTTTGCATCATGCCACGCTTTCCCGGACCCATCCTAGTCTCCACTTGGGTATAATCAAAATTAACCCACCAGACTGCAGGTTTTAGTCGTCCTTTCCATTTACCAGGTTCTATTTCCACAGCCCGGGGATTCAGTTCTGTCCGAACTCCGAGCGCCAGGCCAGGTCCATACCGAAGCCCGCCTGAAGCCTCAGGCAGTCCAGCGCATCCTGGTAGTTGGAACCTCAGACTTGCCGACTTCGGGGCAGACCCGAGAGAACGGGACGATGTTTTGTCTCCTTGGAACATGCTCCGAAGGAGTCCAAAACAAACAACCCTGGCAGCACCCATGGGGATTCGGGCAAGATGGCGTGCTTCCTTTTGGCGTGTTTTTTGTTCTTGCTTCACGCCATGAATTGTTCCAGAAAAAAACAAAAACAAAAAAACGCAGGCATGGTAGACTCATCCAGCCAAGGCCGGTGCCAGGTCGGCCGCGATTCCTCGCGGACAGCAGGGTTCAATCCGTCACTGCCAGGTTGATGGGTCATTGAGCTCAAGACAATTACATGCCTCTCTGGGAATGAAGACATTGTAGGGGGTTGCAATCTTTGCCCCCGAGAAATTAGTGCGGCTCTGTGTCCGGTGAACCAGCACCATGCCCAAATGCAAACAATGCCTGTCCCTTTCTCCATCTACATGAGACAACAGCTCTTGCAGTTTCTAGGGACCGCACAAGCCATTTTGTGGGATGGCAGAACCAAATACGGAAGAAAGTACACGTACACGCCCGCTGTGGTCCTTTGGAGTCTTCGACCTTCACTTCTTCTTGACGTCTGTGGCGACTTCCGAGATTCGAGTCCTGGCAAGAACGCTTGTTACGCTGCTCTTACACATGTCGGGAAGCCCAAGCACCGGCCTTCGAGATACTTGGTACCTTCTGACATCCGATCATCATTCTCAATGGAACCTGACTGTCTGCTTTGGGTTGTGGAGTGTGATCCCGCTCGGCTCGCATCTCTCAACTTGAGCAGAGCCGCCCCAAGTTGTGATCATCACCGACGGCTCTGAGCTCTTCAGATCCGCCTACGCATGGGATCAAATGATCAATTGGAGTCGAAACGCCCGAGGAATTGCCATACTGCCCCCGCCTCCACAGAAAGCATCCGATCCGACCTAGGCAGTCGCGCGGCATCCTTCCGCGCCAAGCGTGCGGAGTAGGAGCGCTTCGAAGACACGTTTGGTCGCTTGGGCTCTGGGGCGCTCGCTCGCTTTGCTTGCAGGTCTCGATCCGCTTGACCTCAGCTCAGCTGAATCGCCGCTCGAATCGCGTGAAACATATCAGTCGCTCAGCTGAATTCGCCAAGATTGGCCCTTTGGCCCTCTCCGGTGAACTGGTTCACGTGCCTCGAGATCCGCTGTCTCTTTGGGGTCTTCTCGCCTGCACAGCCATCGCTCAGCGAGGAATCCCGCTGCAAAGACCCCGCAAAGGTCTGGACTCGTGCCCAAATAAGTGTTTTGAGCATGGCACCCCTTGTAGGGGACGCACAGTGCCTGAACGTCTTCAAATCTGTGATTGCTGTATTCGCGGTGGAAGATAGGGAAGCGCATAAGCCTTGGCGAAGTGTCGGCAGAATCATCCATGCAGAACTCTGCAGTCAGGCTGCCATCAGGATTTGCATCTTCCACAGCATCCTGTGGAAATAGAACAGAAACCAAGAAGCAAGAACCAACATCAAGGATGATCGTGCCTCCTCGCTTCTGGCAGCAGCATGACCTGACCAATGACATCACGCAAGCTGTCTGGCAGCACATCACCCAAAACAGAACAAGTGGCGTGCCCACATTCTTGCCACAGCTGACTTCAAGCACTGCTGAACGTTTGGTGCCGGTGGATGAAGAGCTTGCTGGTTTTCTGGCAGAAGCCAAGTTGTGTTTGCTTCCGAGGTCCGGCGTTGATGTTTTGAGGCGGCCCAAAGGGGGATTGCAGGCATCAGGATGGCTGAACTTCGTAGGGCTCTACCAAACCTCGGACAAAGCCGATCAAAAGCAAGTGGGCCAGGGTCAGCATAGGTGCCGTTGTAGGTTTCCCCTTGAACCAACCCGAAAACGGGAATCAGGAGTCAAGATCTGACAGCAGTTGCTCCAGCTTGGGCTTCGGGTTGCATCTCAAAGAGCTGGGAAAATACGATGCTTCTGCGAAGTGCTCTTGTGCAAAAAAAGGCTCGATGTCTTTTCACAAGCATTGGGCTCTCTCTCTCAGTTGTGTTCCCGAATTTCTGAGACAGCGCATTTTCCTGAAGCAAGAATGTCAGATTACATGTCACATCGCATATGGAGGACCTTCGATGCGGCTCCGACCTTGAAGCCTATTTCTGCAAGTCAACGTGAAGCAACCAAACGCATAGCTTGGAGCCACAAACAAATCGCTGGAGCCGGTCACAGCATCTGACCCAACAAGTTGAAGTTGCCATCCTGCCTGCATCTTCCATGGCCTCCAACGGGGCGAATGTGAAATCCTGCGGCACAAGAAGCCGACGTGAAACAACCACCGGCGCAGGAATCGAGCACATATTTCTCATTCAGTTAGGCATGCTCATGGTTCCAGCCATGGCTGCAACCCTAACAGTGAGGCTGGAATGGAACAAATATCTCGTGATTGCATGAATGATGCTGCCGGTCCGTCGCATCGTTGAAAGGACACAAAGCGTCCCCAGCATCGTCACCAACAAAGGGTGAAACAGACCTGGGCAGCTCTGTGCGCCGATTGCAGGTTCCCTGCCATCTCCATGAAATCCACGTCCCGGCCTATTCTCATCGATGCCTCTCAGAAAAGACACAGCTCGCTCGCCGCAAGACAAAAGAACCGCACCCGTGAAGGCCGTCCCCGTCACCAGGTCTCTCTGCACCTTGCTTCGGAGTTGGCTCGAACCATCGAGATCCCAAAATCCGAGGGATTGAAAGCCAAGACGCAGTCCCCAAAAAACCAGGTCGCTCACACACAAGAAACTCGTGGGCTGTTGCGGGGTTGAGGCACGGGTAACGGAGTGAGTGCCCTGTCCCCGAATTCGCGCCCCTTTTGGGTCGGGTCTTTTCCCTTGAGCGATGGCCGGTCGCCCCGGCCTCGCACTTCGGCACCTCCAGCTCTCTAGCACCGGACCGGTCCGGCTGAGTCACACCTGGCGATAGAGTCCCTTCGAGACGTCTGGGCATGGGAAATCGCGATTTTCGGTTGCACGAGCTGATTGTTACAAGCTATTGTTGTACAACCCTTACAATCGGTGGTTTAGACGTCTGGTTGTTATAAGCTGATTTCGGGTCCTTGAAGCCCCACATACAAACCCCAAGCATAGCTTTCCGGATCAAGGCTACACAAGCATCAAAGCCTGCCTTCACCATGCGTCCGTGACACTTGCAGCTCCGCACGGTGGTTGGCCTTGGGCAAGCTGCCGGGCCCACCAGACGGGTCTCGCTTGGTCTGTGGCCTATCCCCTATGTGGTTTGGGGGGCGAAACCGAATGGAAAATACGGACTCAAAGGAGCCCGGAGTCCGGATGGGGCTGCTGCGCCGGAGTTCCGGCTGCAACTTCTACTCCTCACTTGCGTGGCTGGAGCATGCCGGCTCAGGGGTTGGATTTTGAAAGTCTTCAAAACCTGCAAGACTTGCCTGTGAGTGTGCAAGCATGGCCAACCTGGAACATCAGGCGTTCTCCCTGGTCAATGAAAGCAGTGGAGACAAACCATAGTTTCCCCCGCCACCAAGTCGTCTGCATGTGGGATCCCTGAAACTCAGATCCCCCTAACTCTGGTCCGCCGAGAGGAGCTTGTATGAAGCTGTCAAGTGCAACACTCACGGAAGCCCACTCGGTCCTGCTCTCTTCCAGTCGTGCGCCTCCCGCCCAAAGGCTGGTTCCCTCTATTTAGCTGTGCACCAAGGTTCGGGGTCCTCCAACACTACCTCTCTCCACAGAACCTGCACCTCCTTCGATTCCATAATGCCCTATTTGCACGTGCCAATGTTGAGGGTACCCCTTGGGCGGCTGTTTAGAGACCAAAGCTCGAAACCGAGTTGGCCTTTCGGGAGTCCTAGAAGGCTGTGGCTCAAAAAACCTGTCCTGGAACCCTGTGGAAACATGGACCAAAACCTGCGTAATTTTGAGCCACACCCAGAAAGACCCACTGGAAGCTTGCGAGAGGTCCCCCACCTTGGAAAGTGCTCCGCCGGGGCGGCGGGGAGGCACTTTCCACGCCTCAAAGCCGTGAAGCGCCGCGTGAAGCGGACGTCTTTACAGATCGGTGGCCCTGTACACACACTGCTCTGACAGTTCATCAAATCCTTCAAGGAGCAAAAGGACTGGAATCCACTCTAAGAACGCCTGGAAACGCATTTGAGGAATGATACCACGTGCACATGCACGCACGTGTTTTGCCGAGGCCAGGGCTTGTTGCCCTCGTCTCTCGAGAAATCGTTTTTGGCCTGCGAGGGAGACCACTGGAGGTTGGGCCTCCAAGTGCTCTCTGTTGAGTCCGCACCTAACCAAAGCAAAGTGTGATTGTTGTTTTTGCATCGGAGTCTTTTCAGCGTCCAATCTTGGGGCTGAAACCGGGTGTCTTGCACAGAAAAAATGGAGCCCCTCAGCTCGGCCGTTAAGCCTCTGAGCTGTCGGGGCCACTGCATTGAATACTTGCCTATGCATACGTACATACATATACATATACATATACATATATATATATATATGGTAAGCCCCCCCATGCACGCTGGTTTGGTGAGCTTGAGCTGTGTTTGTTTCTGTGTGTTATGCCTTTTTTGCCTCGTTGGTAGTGTGGCTTTTTTTTTTTTTGGGGGGGGGGGGGCATGTGGGGGGGGGGGGGGGGGGGCATGTGTGTATATATATATATATACATGCATACATTCATATGTAATGTAAGCAAAGGTATAAACATATGCCATCTGACAGAGTCTGCATCCATCTCAGAGTATTCTGGATTTTGTGTTTTTTGAGGGATTCAATATTCAATAATCTGAGAATATTGTGTTGGGAATCTTGAATCTGGAATCCTGAATCCCAAACAGAAAAATCCAGGATTGTCCCAATACAAGTTCCCACAGTGTCTAGATTCAAAGTCAGAGGACAACATTCTCGGAAAAGCGTTCTGTGAAAGGTGTCAATCTTGAATCTTCAATCCAGTGGCAAAATACTTTCGAGGTTTTGGAACAACTTGAACATTTCTTGGGGTTGGCCAGGATGAATGAGTCTCAGGAAAACTGTTGTTGTCTGTGCAATCTTCAATATTGAATCCTCAATCCAGTGGCAAAGCACTTTCAAATGTTAGAAGAACTTGAATGATGTCTTGGTTTGGCCAGGATTCACGATTCTCAGGAAAGGTTTATGTTTAATCTTTAGCCGTGAATCTTCTATCCAGTGGTAAAATACTGTCAAGTGCTTGGCGATCCAGTGAAAACACTTTCAAGTTCTTAAATATACAAACTGTCAAGTGCTTTCGGTAAGCGGTTTGATTCATGTAAGCTATGCTCATGTGGACCCTTCTCCAGAGGTAACGGTAGGTGTAATGCTGAAAACACTGTATTTTACAGCATTTTATGAAGAGGCGCAGTAGCATGAGGGGTGGTGCCGCTGGACCGCAAAGTTCAAAAGACCCAGGAACTTATGCTCGCATGTGCATTCACTTCGTCACTTCCTCACTTCTCCTTCCACTTTTGTTGCCACTTCCATTTCAACTTCCACTTTTACTTTCACGTCCACCTGCACCTCACTTCACTTCACTCGACTCAGCTCCACTTGGCACATCTGCACGGCCTGGCTTCACTCGGAGCCGGCGATTCCAGCATGTCCGTGGCATATCCCGAGGAGATGGCCTGGTCATGCACAGAATTGATAGAGCTCACACTGAAACCCAGAAGTGGATGTCTTGCTGCACATCGGCAGAAAGGTTAATGTAACTTCAGACCAAAGCATCCATGTTGATTCGGCGCATTAGAAGTGAGCCTCAAGGGATGGTGAAGCTTCCTCCTGCGAAAGCACCTCAAGCACCAGTCAGCGGTCGGCGAAAATGAACAAAAAGAGACGCGCACTCGACTTCGCGCCTGCGCCAGGGCAAGCATGGATGGCATCCTCGTGTTGGATATTCGCTCCTGACGCCAGGGGTTGTTTGTCTTTCTTGCACGCCGGTTCACTTCGCAGGCTTCCTCCGGCTCTGCTGATGGGGCTGGTTGCAGGACGTCCAGCTCGATTTCTTTTGCCTGAGATGTCCATTCCGCCAATGCACAGCAAAACCATTCCTCCCCTTAAAAAAAAAAAACATACAATCCTCTTGGATTATTCTGGGATCCTCGGGGCACGTCTGGGAATCATTGCTGCTTGTTTGATTGGTCATGCCAAATTAGGCACTTAGACCTACCTAAGGGGACCCCCCAGTTGGATAAAATCCCCTCAACCGACCAATTCACATAATATTGTTTAATCATTTCATAACAGAACCTCAACTCAAGATTTGATACATAAATTTTGTAAATATTTTTCTAAATTTTCAAAAATATTATTTTACAAAATTATCATTTTTCCGAAGAAATATAAATCATAAATTTTACAATATTCTTATTGTAAAGTTCATGGTTAAAATTTAAATCATATTACTTCATAATTTGAATAATTGCAGAATTCCTCACGGAATATGCTGAAATGAAATAATTTTCCAGAAAGGGTAATTCACCTACAATTTGAAAAACTTTGTCCTTCACTTCCTCCATTTCCTTTTTGACCTCTGGTGCTACTGGAGGTTTTGAATTTTCAATTTCATTAGGTTTTTCTTCCTCAACTGTTGTTTTTACTTTATTCTCATTCTCAATATGCTTCAACGTTTTCAAATGCTTGGATATTGCAGATTTCCTCACTTTACACTGGCAAATATCACATTCTATTTCAATCTGATTACGCACTTTATTATATTCCTTTTTCTTTTCCTTCCTATCAATTTTACTTTGTTCTCGGCAGTAATCACAAATATGCACTCTAACATTAAATAGGTCAGGTGGATAAGTGTTTTCACATCGCCTACATTTTTGCATTTTGTCAGTCATCTCCATGCTACTATTGATAGGTGGCATGTCTTTAAGACCAGACCATCTTAAAGATCCCAAATTCCCAAAATATATTTTTCCAAAATCCCAAAATATAAAATCCCCATAATTTTCAAACATAAATCTTACAATGTTTTTTATTGTAAGGTTTATGGGTTAATTCTAATTAGAAATGTCATCCAAGTAATCTTGCACCTCTTGGATTTCAATGTAGGCAAAGTAATCATCAATAACATAAATCAAGTATTCATAAATAATAAGTTTCAAAATAATATTCATTGGATATAATTTATTTCTATACTTAAAGTCTGCATGGTTTGTGTAAGATAATTTGTCTTTTAAGGTCTCCTTATGACCAATAAACAAAACAACCTCTCTAAACACTCCCCAACCCTGCCTTACAAAGGATTTCATCACTGTTCTTAATTCAGCATCTTCAACATTGTCAATAATTTTTGTATTTACATCTTTTATTCTTGCTTGTAATCTGCCACTGTCTAAAGAAATATTGCGAGGACGATACCTTGAAAGACATTGAAGTTTTAGTTCCATATTGCTGAAGTCTGGACTTGGTGTATGCCTTCTTGTTTCAAATCGCACTTCACTATCGCTCATAAATTTACACTTTTCACAACTCAAGATGTTATTTACACATTGATTACACTTACTATAGTCAAACAGCATTTCACTAATAATATAAGGCATTTTCTTTTTAAGTATATTTCGCTTGAAACATAAATCTTACAATGTTTTTTTATTGTAAGGTTTATGGGTTAATTTAATAGTCAGGCAATATTAATGGAGGAGGACATGACCTGCCACACAAAAGGGGGGCAGCCAGCCACACAAAAGGGGGGCAGCCAGCCACACAAAAGGGGGGCAGCCAGCCACACAAAAGGGGGGCAGCCAGCCACACAAAAGGGGGGCAGCCAGCCACACAAAAGGGGGGCAGCAACTAAATGACATTTTCCTCGAGTTTCAAGCACAACCCCAAACTCGTTTCTTTAATCCACCAAACTCGTCAAAATATCACAATTAATATCAGCATTTTTCAAGTCTAATGAGATGACATTAAAACCTAATGACTTTGCTATGGTTCCTACACTTCCAGTTCCACTAAATAATTCTAATAAATTCATATTGTTTATTAGAATGATTTAGATAATGTTTTAGACATATACATATTTATCATCTTCCTTAATAATTTTATAGTATTCTAATGTTTGTTCTTTTGGACTTTTGATTTGTCCCTTATTTAACATATCACAATATTTTTTACGCTTCGTGTCATAATCACCGCTGGGTCTGCCTATCCCTTTCTTTTCAAAGATCTTATCAATATGTTCCTTCTCTTCATTGTTATCTTTTGGTTCGTTTGCCTTTGCGTCAAGTTTCTGGTCAATAGTTTTTATCATCTCGTACAACAGTTTAACATTTTTACTAACTGTCATTATCTTCCTTGATAGTTCAGCAATAGCATCATTCTCAACTTCAGACATTTCTATATATATTTATTTATATAATTATTTATTTAAATATTTATTTATGCGTTTTATTATACAGTTTACCTGAATAATCTAATGTTATATATGTAAATAAATTATATTCTAACAGTCTTTCCCCAATTTTATTGTTCATTTTTATTAAACCTTCCTCGTCACCTGTAATTTCAAAAAAATTCAATATTCTATCAAATTTATCCGGTTTAGTTATACCTTTCATAAAATATTTATCATTGAATTTAGCATCAAACCAATAAAAATATTCTTCGCTCAATTGTTTAGCAAAGTTTTCATCACCGTTGAATAGGTCTTTAATTTCTTCATCGTCAAAAGTTATAACTCTATGGTCTTCTCTATTCATAGTTGGCATTATGATTATACAAATAATTAGATATTTAGTTATTAAATTATTTATTTATAAAATTGATTTAATGTAGATTTTCATCATTTGTTTAATAGTTTCCTGTGCTTCGTTATCACCATTATCGGATGGTGATGCATGCCTTCCCCATTTAAAAGTTATATTATGGACATCAGTTTCTAAGTTGATACTGTCTTTAGTTTTATCAATATTCATTTTCTTATCGTTTTTACTCAATTTGAAATTTGTCGGAATACACGAACATTTACAATTTCCTTTCTTTTGAATTTCTAATTCGTTCTTCATTGCTAACATCTTTCTACACATAGGACACTCAAACTCAATAACTGATGTTTCTTTAACAATTTCTTCTTCTTTGTCTTCATCTGTTGAAGAAACTGTAGTATCTGTTTTATTCTTTTTGTTTTTCTTTTTTCCCATTTATATTAATATTTACATTTTTATTTTTGATATATTGTATTCCTAATTTTATTAATTCTAATGTATAAAAGCATACTTTCTTACATCTGTTGTCAGTTATTATTACTTGTTCTATATTCTCTACTTCATCTATTATATCAATATAATCTGAATAACTTCTATCCATATTAAATAATAAGATGAAATAATTATTAAAAATAATTGTTTGATCTTATTATTTTCATGCATAATAGAATATTGGTGGGGCACAGCACTTGGGGTTTTCATTGCACACGCGAGCGAGACACAAAACTAATTATCTTCAATGCTTATTGATTGAAGCAATGGAAAACCTGTTCCATTTTTTCATTGATATTTGCCGTCATCATATCATGAAAAAACGATGTTCCATTTAATATTAATTATAAATAATTTTCTAAATATCTTTAATATTATTTTATTATGCCTGATGTAAAACCAATTGATGAAATCAAATATGACTTTAAGCAAAGTAAGCATGAGGTCGTCCCTAAATTGCCGATGAGAGCTATGATTGTGGGCCCGTCAGGCTCTGGCAAATCGACGCTACTTGTATCAATGATACTTGATATTTATAGAGGTGCATTTGAAAGAATTTTTATCTGGTCTCCATCAGTAAATTTGGATAGTATTTGGTTGCCTGTTAAAAAATACATTAAAGAAGGTTTGAAAGTAGATACTGATAAAGAACCGTGTTGGTGGGATGAGTTCAATGTTGAAGATTTAGAAAGAGTTATAGAAACTCAAAATAAAATAATTGAATACCAGAAAAAACAAGGAACGAAGAAATTATTTAATATTTTGGTAATTTTGGATGATGTATCTGATAATCCAGCAATAACAAGAAATAACAAATTGTTAAATTCTTTATTTTGTAGAGGTCGCCATAGTGGAATATCAACACTTGTCAGTCTTCAAAAATCATCAACTGTGCCACCAATTATTAGAGTAAATATAAGTCATTTGTTTTATTATAAAGTTAGAAACTACAAAGAGATAGAAATATTACAAGATGAATTATCAGCAATTGTTAGAAGCGATAATTTACACGAAAGCAAGAAATTAATTTATATAATATATGAAACTGCCACTGATGAACCGCATAGTTTTTTATATATTAACCTTTTAGAAAAGAAGCCAGATAAAATGTTTATGAAAAACTTTTCACAATATTTGAAAATAACTAATCAATAACATTAAATTTATTGTTTAATGTTATTGATTTAAATTAATGAAGCGTTGCAAAACTGTAAATTTGGTAATTTATATATTAGTTTGTCTGATTTTTCTTTTTCTAATTTTTCTATTCTCGATACACATTCTTGAATAGATTTAATGATTAAAGTATCTGCTCTTGTTTTTTCATCTACTCTTAAATTCTTAATGTCTTCCATACTGTTATTTTCATCGTTTTTACTTTGACCAATACCCATTATATATTATTATTTAGATTGTTTTTTTCAATTCCTTAATTTATTTTTCTAATTTTTCAACTTTGACTATCACTTCCAGTGAAGCTTTATGTAATAATATTGGAACTTTTGTATATTCAATACCTAAATATTCACGTTCGGTATGAACTACATTACTCATTTCTTTCGGAACTGCTTTTAATAAATCATCAGCAATATAACCTATATGGATTGCATCCTTATCGTCTCTATCTTTTCTTTTGAATTTTTTAGGTTTGAATTTCTTAATCATACTAATACAATTACTTTTAAGTAAATCTACATCATATTTCAATCTTGCATCGGAATTATCTATTAGACTTCCATTTATGGTTACAGTTCCGGCAGTAATATCAATAGCATCGCCTGAAGCATCTTGAATATCATTTA